ATGGAAGGTGGGTTTTCCTCCTGTTTTTAGTCTTTTAGAGAGAGAGAGAGAGAGAGAGACACAGAGAGACACACAGAGAGAGAGAGAGAGAGACAGAGAGCATTTCCTTTTTCCTTTGCATCACACTGAAAAACCTCCACTCTGCATTAGAAGGTGAATAAAACAAACGAACCTGGAGGAGGATGCTTCAGTAACTCAGATCTGCGGAATAACTCCGGACGACGCGTCCAAAAAAAAAAAAAAAAAACCAACCGGATAAAGTTCATTTTGGATTCTGCAGCCGGACTTTGACGTAAGTTTCCCTCGGACACCAGGAACCGACGGAGCCTCTTCATGGAGGATTCTCCTGAGGACGAGGAGAGAGTTGTTTGAAAAGTCATTCTGGAGTTCGGAGGTAAATGCGAGGAAACTTTTCCAGATGTGTTTTTCTGAAGCAAACAGCAGCTCACTAATGAAATATACTCACACCCCAAAGAGCAGCACAGCAGTTCTCTTCGTTTCTTGAAGCTTTATATATTTCATTATCGTCCTTATAATAAACTTTTGTCCAACTTCTGCTCCTCTGGGGGTTTTTTTTATTCTAACGAACAGTCCCCGCAGAATAACGGGATTTAAACGTTGTTCCATCGGATGTGAGGACTCGTCGACACCGAGGAGACAGAATGAAGGAGCCGTTCTGATAAATAACAGCAGGATTTTATAGAGAACATGTTATTCGGGTGAAATCCTCGGAAACTCGTCAGAGAAGCCCAATGAGTGTCACACAGTCCACACTCACTGACAGGTAGGTGACACTCGCCAAACTCCTTTACACCTTCTTCGAATTTAAAGTTGTTTTGGTTGTTGGAAAATACATGAAGTGATATAACATGACAGAAGCAAAGCTACCGTATAATTTAGTCTTCTGGTAAATTCGGCATCACTCTGTTCAATATAAACCCCAGGTCTCCACAAGAAAGGGAATCATAGTGATTTAAATTGGTTATAATTGCTGACCCTCCTCATGCTGCGTTGTGGGAGGAGACGATGGCGATAGGAGTTAGTAGAAGTTAGGTTTTAGTAAATGTAAAGGTTTTTGATCCAATTTTTTAAAGCCGAAACAAGCACAAGCCTTTTATATTCCACCTGGGTTCTTAAAGTATTTTCTGTCTGTAATGTTTATCTAGGAAATTCAAGGTAAGTTGAAAATTACACGATTTCTCAGTGGGGTTCTGAAAAGTCTCCTCTTAAAAAAAAGTGAACGTGATTTGTTTGTTCTGATCAGTGAACATTTTGATTTAATTGCTGTGTGGATTCTCTGAAGGTTGAGGGATTGTTATGCCCCAGTGTAAACATGTCTATAAGTGTTTAGTGAAACAGGCCTATATTTTCTGAGGACCAGGGAGGATCTATGTTTCACTGCCATCACAGCCACAGTTCATCATCTGTGTCTGTAAACAAGTTGAATCCATGTGTGGCTGACAGTATGTCTTTATAACATGAGGCTGAGCACAGTCAACACAAACTTGAATCTATGATCAAATTAGTCTTGCACCTCTGGATTTTCTTGATACTAACCTGAAACACGTTGGCCAGTTTCCCACAGAAAAACAACAAGACGTGAAAATATTGTCAAAACGTTCATTCCTGACTTTCTGCTTTTCAGATTTCTATCCCAGGTAACTTGTTTATTTCTACAGTCAGTAATCAGGAGTTTCCTCTGAGGAAACGCCAAAATAAAGGCACACATGACCGCCTCGGAAACTCAAACAAAGTCATTTGAATTTTCGACCTTCACCCTGCAGACAGGAGCGAGCCACTCGCCGGCTTTGCTGCTCTTTAGAACAATTGGCCTCTTCTCTGTAGACCTAGTTTATATTCTTGGTAATGTTTCACAAATTCCACATTAAGGCTGTGAACGGTTTTACAGTGATAAACAACAGAGAGGGACAGGCAGTAGAAATGACTTTATGTGGAACATAAGTGGATGAGCTGGTGGCATCTTTAACATTAAGACTGGGAACACTGGAAATCCACCATCTAAGTGTGTTGATTTGACACAGAAAGCTAATTTCTGTGCGGGGTCATTTTATCCAGATCTGTCAGCGAGTGAAGTCTTTGGTCTCCGTTCAAACACAATGATGTCAAACCTGGCAACCTCACTGTGAAGACAAGACTTCAGGAGGCGGCGTGTGATCCCTGCCTTTAAATGTTGTTTGTCATGAAATGGTTAAATCAAGTGAGTCCCCCTGAAACCACTGAGGGAATATTTTTTATCTTGGTGTAAAGATAAATCAAACCTTACACAGGTTCTTGAATACTGAGCTTCAGAAGTGTTATTAGTTGTATTTCTTAGCGTTGGAGATGGAAACTGCTTTTCCATTGTTTCTTTATTCCAGTGGAACTGAACCCACATGACATGTTTTTATCTTCTCAGCTCCTTTAAAGGCCTGAAGCTATAAAAACAAGACAGAGGAATAGTAATAAATGAAAGAAAGGGTATAAATGGTTCTGTCACGGCTCTATCCCACGATCACTACTGCTCAGACGCCAGACGACGTCAATGGTGCAAGATGGCAGCATTTGTGCAGCGTCTTTATCTTAGTTTCATCTGCTTCACTTTGCATTTAGAAACATTTCTGAACGACTGTTTTACTTGCAAATCATTTTACGTCACTGCTGCTGTTATCTGACCCTTGAGAGAAATCTCTCTTCAGCTCAGAGGAGAAGACAGAACCAAGCTTCACTCTTTTATCTCTCTGGTACTTTCTGGCGTCGCTGCTCTTTTATGACATGTTGAGTTTGTTTCATTTTTTAAACAACGCTCTTGTCTCTTGTCTGTGGATTTTAAAGTTGTTGCCGCAGCCTGGTCTGTAAAAAAAAAAAAAAAAGGGTTCAGTTGCCGGGGCAACATTTGTACCGGCTCCAGAAGTGGGTAGGTCACATCTTGGACGTCGTTCAAGGGTTTCTCAGTGAGAAGAATTCGGTGAGAGCAGTCTGCTTGGTTTCTCCTAACGTTTGTGATATTTTACCGTCAGGATGTGACAACCCCCAGTGTGGGACATGTTCTCCTGTCGGCCTGGACTCAAGGGACGGACTGAAACCTCCATCTTTCCTGAAGAGCACTGTAAATGTCCTGCTGGGCTCACACTGTCTCGAAGGGGCAAAGCAGAGTTCCCTGCAGGACGGGTCGCGGTAGACGGCTTTTAGGCCTTTAAAGGAAAAGTATGGCTCATTACAACCTGGGTTTTATTTTTACTTTGACCGTTGCTTGTATCAGTTCCAGTAACTTTGGACTCACAAAGGTAATTAATGAGATCTGGGAACACAGACATTGCTGAAAGTGGGTAAAGAACAAGACGAATGAAAAGAAAAGTCTTAAACTATGAGGACAGTTTGTTTGGAAACAACATGGATGAACTTTGATTTACCGTATTTGTTGTGTGACCACGTGGTTTCTCTGATGGAATGTGTCCCTTCTGCAGACGTATTCTCAGTGATGTCATACATTTACCTCTTTTACACCAAAATCAGCAGGTAGACGCAGTTTGAACTCTGTTTTCCTTCTTTTCAGTGTTCACACATCTTCAAAAAGTCACTTTTCACATGTTCAGCTGAGAGCAACTCTTCAAGAAGAGGCTGTGAAGGTGTTTGCTGTTATTCCCATTTTCATTGAGTCGAGACTAAAGCAGCAGACGCAGGTGCAGATTGAGGCCGTTGCCGGTTTTTCTAGTGCAGATGTGACACATTTTGCTCCAGATGTGAGATGCATTTTGCTGGAAGTTTGCACCTCCCTCCTTTTTTTGCTGTAACGGAGAGTCACACAGATTGGGCTGTGTTTCATTTAGCGTTCTTCTTTTCTTCTTGACCGTCAAAGTGCTTCACAGGACAGATTTCATTCACCCATTGACACACTCAATACAGCTGTAGCTCATCGTCTGTCACTGATCCCACCCTCTCACCTCAGGGTTTACTTTTCACAGACTCATGAACTTCGTTTGGTCAAAGTTATGTCAGCCCGGCGCTCAGACCTGTGATGTACAGTAAATGAAGCTGAATGGCTGCAGGCAGTGGACCGGCTCTTTTTACTCTTTGTCAAACAGTTGTGCTGATCTGTGTTTTCCCGCCCGCCCGCCTGCTTGCCCACCGACCTCCCTCGCCCCCTCCTCCCCCCCCTCGCCCCCTCCACCTTGCTGGCGCTCTGACGGGAAGTGGTGACATCACTGTTAAACAATGTCTGTCAGGCCCACCAGGCCACCGGCCCGTCCTCGCTCAGTGACAGTACAGTGCTGCTGGTGACACATCACTGCAGGTGGTTAACGACCAACCAGACAGAGCCACTGTCGTGCTCCTGCGCTCACTGTCGCTCTGAGATCTGGTGTGTTCTTGTGCTTTTTCTGTGTTTTTGCAGGAGACTCGTTAAATGTATGTTAGAAAGCATTGGGGGGGGGGGGTAATCCAATGGCTCTGCTCTCCGGGGCCTGAGATCCTACATGAAGCGACTGTTAATGTTCCTGTTGTTAAAAACAAACAGAACCTACAAAGAGACTGAAAGCACCGTCGTACTAAACGGTCATGTGGTGTTTGAGTCTTACGTGTGTTGAGCTACTTGATTAGATAATTCCCGGGAATTCACAAGTTAAATTTGAATTTGGATGTTTGTGGTCGGAGCCAAGAAACATCAGATGCAAACGCACAAAGATTCATTCATGCAACAGACGCGAGAACATTCATTTTAAAACTCTGATAATCAACCAGGGACATTATTGTTTGCTGTGAGGACAAGTCGTGTGAAAGCATCTCACTGAATCTGTTTTCAGACGTGAGGTCTGGAAAATTGGGTTTGAACCTTTTGCTTAGTTTGCTTTTTACAAATGAAGAACGCAGCAGCAGACGCTAGCTCAGCAAATTTAAATCTATATGTATGAAAACCACTTGAAGCTGTGTTTCTTGTATGAAAGGTGATTTACAGATACAGTTTATTACCATTATCTTCCTGCTGTTTTCTCACGTGGATTCACTCAGACATTATCCAGAGTTTTTAGGGGGCTGGCAGGAAAAACTCCACGTTAACTGACTCCGACATTTGCGTTCTCACGTACTGCCCCTCTGGATAGTGTCAGGAGAATATCAGGAGTTCTGTGCTGGTCTGAAAGCAGCTTTAGTTTAGTTTCCACCAACTATTAAAAAGCACATTAGTGAGACACACTGTTGTTGTGTGTGACATGTTCCTTCATCGACACACTCATTGCACTTTAGACTCTGATGCACCAAATGTGTATCCCTCCGCAGCTGAAAATAGTCCCCATCAACAGTTTTTAAAATATAAAACTATGTATTTGTGACTCGTCTTTAAATATGTAAGTGTCCAACATTGTGCAGGGGAAGTACTAAGTTATTATCAGTTGGTTAAATCATGTTGTATTTTACTTTGTATTAACGTATTCATGATAAACACAGCTCCAGTGTATGTGGACTTTTAGCTTCTCTCCTTCTTGTTGGGCTTTTGTCTCCCGGCCTCTGGAGCTGAGTTCTTTGCTGTTATCTTCCCGGAGGAATTGTCTGGTATTTTTGGCATCTGAGGCCCAAGTGGATCGCTGCATGTTCTCTCTTTCCTTGTTTGATAACCGTGCACGAAGGCAAGTAAAGAAAACTTAAGCAAATTAACCAGAAGACCTGTATCCCAGCACTAATGTATTAAGTAAATGAATAATTCCCTTTTATCACGGGGGCCAGTTAAAGTTTTCACATGGACATGAAGACATTTCCTGTGCATGTGAACTTGTTTGTGAACCTTTGGTGACTCGAGAGTCCTGAACACAACAGAAAATATGCATCAGATCTTAATGAGGCGTTCAGGGACCTTATCTCTGTAATGTTGGAAAAGCTTTCTCACTGTATTCTCAACAGAGACTGGAAGATTTATCAAGTATTATCGCTGACTTCATCTTCTTAAATATATATAAACTTAAGGTTTTGACATTATTGTGTCATGAAGTGGATCTTAAATTGGACTGAACACAAAACCTTGTATCACAATCCATCCTTCATTATTCCACGGACTCTTGTGTGAAGCATCTTGTTTAGTGCGATACAAATAAAGTTATCATTATTATTATTATATCATCGACTGTACATAAAGACGGCCGACATGACCGCTCAGCCAAATCTTCTAGATCGCCCCCTGGTGGCTGCAGTACGGGTCATCAACCCAGCCTCCTCCATGTTGACAGATGGGACATGAACCAAACAAAAACCCAAAAAAATCAAACTACATGTTAATGAATGTTCGTGTTTCTAATATCTTTGTTTTTAATTAGTAATGTGACGATTCGACGGCTGAGACTGACTCGTGATTGGTCGTGTATCGGTGGGAGCTCGGTATCGTGGCTCCACGCCATGATCACTCCTGCACAGACTCTAAATTACGTCATTGGTGCAAGACGGCGGTAATATCAGGGATATTTGAGGAAGGAAGTGGAGATGTGTCAGCCATCTTTATTTATAGGCTATGACTCATAGGTATTGCTGTTTATATGTGAGCTGGTAAGTGGCCAGAAGTTTCAGAACGTGTTTGAGTTTTTTCACCGTGCAGCAATAACCACGTTATTATTATTGACATATTACTATATAGTTTTATATTTTCAACATTTTCTTTAATCGGTTTAGGACATCTAATCACCAAAATAAAAGTTTACCTCAGATGCCAGAAGCAAATGTCTGTCTATGACGTCGCCAAATCAAGATGCCTTGTCGTTGCAACGCCATATTTGGTGTATTTGACTTGAGAACTGAAAAGTGAACTGATAAAATCTGCTAATTGTTCAATTAGTTTCCCAACAAAGTCATTTTTAGCTCCTGTTTGCCGTTATCGAGTCACGTCACCGAATTTAAAGCCTGGAGATTGTGAGTCTTGCCACAATGCACTGTGGGAGTTATAAACATGTGCTTTTACTTTGCTCAAAGCTGTTGATTCTGTCTATGTGATGATTCAGCTGGTGTTTAGTGCCGATCTAAGCTCTCGCCGTGAGTCACCAAATGGGAAAAATGAATATGACTTTTATTTTGAAGAACCAGGCACCTAAAATAGCTCCTGCAACTCAGCGGCTCTTATTTGTTGAGTCATTCGTGTGGGAAGATTTATCCTCCAGCTGCGGATTCTCTAAAAAGTGAGGAAACGAACTATCTGAAGCTGAAAGATGAATTCTCATTGTCATCCAGCACTTAGCTGCCACCCACTGAGCAGGATGCAGTCTGCCGTTGTCTCGCCGAGTCTTATCAGCTCCTAATCTCCTCCTCCGACCACAGCGAGGAGGCCCCCTCAGTGGGCCCTCCAACCTCAGAGGGGGACAGGTTGTCTCCCTGATACTCTGCTCGACGTGATGTCCCCTTTTCGTCTGTTGTGACAGTTTTGTTGTGTCTCAGAGGGAAGAGTCAGGCTCAGCTGTTTAGTCTGGTCCATATTTTGGATTTGATTTATTTCGTCGTTCCTCTGCATCATGAGGAGTTCGTTCAGGATTGTTCAGACTCTGGGAGCGAAGCTGAAATTTCCCTCTGTCCTCCCTCAAAGACACTCTTGTGCCTCCTCCTTCCTTCCTCCCCCCCCTCCTCCTTCTCTTTCCCAGCCTTCTCCCACATTCAGGAAACTGGAGCGGAGCCAAAAAAACCCTGAGCCTCCGTTTCCGGGAATCTGTCCCACAAAGCCACAGTATAGTAAGTTAGCTCTGACGTGGGAGCCATTGTTAAAAGCCCAGGGCCCCCATTGTCCGAGGGAGGAACAGCAGCACAAACGACACCCCCTCTTGCGGAACATGTTGGAGCTGCTGCGGGGACGGGGGGGGGAGGAGGGGGGAGAGGGAACATATTCTATTTATAAATGAACGGCCACCAGAAGGTTACGCTCCCATCTTAAAAACCAAGACGGAGGGTTTACATGGAGCTTGTTGAAGTCTGACTATTGGAACTTTATTCAAACTTTATGATCTCACATTGAGAATATAATTTTTGATGATATAGAGTTCATGGCGGCCTGAAGACCGGCTATTGACTTTATACTCTGTGTGCTAATATGTGTATTTATTATGATTTCTAATATGATATCTGTATATTTTGTATTTTGCATCACTTGATTTGTTAAAAATGGATTGTGGGTATTTACACTCTGAAGTTTGAGCAAGAGCCAAATTCACCAAGTTAACTTCTTTTTCTGGACATTTTCATTGATTCCTCTGAGAATAATTCATGAAGCTTGATGAAAGAAATCAGACGTATTTAAAAGATATTCATGTGTTTCAAAAACGTTGCATATTCAAATAAAATAAATGAATGTAAAAGGTTTCCTTGGCGGAGGTCACCACTGAGGTTAGCTCCTGTCTATATTTTAAAGGGTGTTACAAGTTTTTATTAAACATTTTAATTAAAACTACATTTATCTTCTTTATTTTCCGACTTTTGGAAAAACAAATGGAGACTTTCTTCCCTCTGTAAAAACATCTGACACCAATATGTTGGTAATAAGTTTTTTTCTATGTGTGTTCTCACGTCGTCCTCACGTTGTCCCTCGTCTCTCTAGGACCCCAAACATTCTCAATAAGGAGCCCGCAGACAAGAAAGCTAAGAATGACAAATCCTCCGTCTCCCTCAAACATGAGTTTGACCCAACAGGTAAGAGACGCACAGATTTAATTCTGTTCTCTGATTTAAGGTTTTATTTCATTGTGTCTTGTGAATTTCTTCGCTTTTTAAATCCATGTTAACATTAATCTCTCTGAGTTTTGTATCTGGGTTGTAGAGGTGGTGTGTATGTTGTTCAGGAACAAGTTGTTAAGGTGGTTCCTTCTTGGGTTGAGGGGTCGACATTAATCCTTCCTGCCCTCTTCTTCACCCTGGAGTCTTGAGGCTCCTTCACGGAGGCCAGAAGACGACCAATTATCCACTCAGATACTTGTTTGAAGAGGGAGAAGAATCTTGATTTCAGGGGCGTGAATGACTCAGCTGAGTTCAGTCGCTGAGTTCAGTCGCTGAGTTCAGTCGCTGAGTTCCCAGCGTCTCGAGGACCTGGTGGATTTCAGTTGCTGCTGTTGGTTTACGCCTGCCACATGGTCACATGGGATTTTCATGATTTCTTGTGTGTGTGTTAATTGATTGATTGCATTTGTGTTGTGTCGGGGATGAGAGAGCATTATGATTTTATTAAAGGAGACGTTTTTCAGTGTTGCATAAGGTTTTCTTTGTAAATGTAAAAGTTCTGCAAACTTAAAAGCTAAAGTGAGGAGTGGGCCAGCTGTGTTTCAGGCAGAGGCTGAGAAGAGGAGCTGCAGCAATGGAAAGTTTGAGGACTGATGTGTTTTCTGGACTTTAGAGCACGTGAACCTTTTCAAGTGATAACACTAATTAAAACGATGGACCTGAATATCAGCAGAATATAAAATTATATATATATATATATTTGCCAGGGAAGCAGCGTCTTGCTGGTGATTCCAGGTTTCTTGGAAAGAGAACTAGCTGCTGTTTAAAATCTTTTTCTCTGTCTTCACTTGTCATTTCCTGTGTGGAGATATTTGACTCCACCAGACGACCAGTATTCCAGATGTTCCGTGCCAGAACTTCTTTTTAGGAAGAATCACATAAAAGTCTTCTTAGATTCTTACTTCTGCTAATAATTGTGGTTAATTTAGTGATTTCATATGCGACACGTAAACAAATATTCACCTGTTTTTTTTTAACATCATTAAATTTTATGGTTATGAGTCGAAGAAAAACACAAACTCTTATTGTGAAGTTCTTCTTTCCTATCGTGTGTGAGACAGGTCTCGTCCAGCGTTGTGTGATAATCCAGAGAGATGAAAATGGCTTCGGGCTGACGGTGAGCGGAGACAACCCTGTGTTTGTGCAGCTGGTCAAAGAAGGTAAGACACACACACACACACACACACACAC